CCAAATTCATAAAGGAAGTGAACCCCCGAAGTAACTCGGCGACGAGGTTCTTATCGTCGCTCAGGTATCCACGAAATATAACCGAATTGGGATCGGGGGATTACGACCCTTTTATATTCGAGATACACGTGTGAGGTGCGTGCCTGCCTGCTAGCTCAGTAATCTACCCTACGTTAAAAAGCAACATTCATTTTCACTGCGTATTGGAGTTAGGGACTCTCGTTTCTTTCTTTCTTTCTTTTTTTTTTGAAAAGGTAGCAGTTTTCTAGAAAATAGCCATGAAAGGATTTTCCTCTCCTTTTGGGGTTGTGGTGGTCGTTGGCACACCGATAAACAGACGGGGAGCAGTTAAGCAGACTTGCTTTGTATTATTCGATTTTTTTTAATGTGACATTTGAACTTGTCTATTGTCTGAGCCGCTCGGTGCAGATTGCAGGAGGTCAAGCTAAAGGCTGCTCTTTTTTGGAATTTCGCACAAACGCGCACAGGCCACCGCCGCTTGTCCGCCTTCCGGGAAGCCAGCCGTTGCAATTTTCCTGCTGTTCTTGTGGCAGTGGTGTTGATATATTTTTATTTTTTATTTTTTTGCGCGCGGGGGGGGTCCCCTTGTTTTCTGGCCCGCCGAAAGCATAAGATGACTGGTCTGTTTCCCTTTATGCGCTCTTCTACACCCATCCACTCCCAGGGTGGTCAGGTAATCCTCCATCGTCGCGTCTCCTCTCACCTCCGTTTCCTGGCCTAAAAAGGGGATAAAAAAAATACACATTAGAACGGCTGCTTAAAAGGTTTGAGGAAAGAGTCTGGAAAACTGCACGATTCAAACAACTCCTCCAGGACTTATACACCCCCTCCCCCACCTCAGTTCTTCCATTTTATTTTCCCCTTTTGTCTTTTCCTTCCTTCCTTCTTTCTTTCTGGTCTGTCAGCTCCCGCTTTCCTTTAGTATGACCACCAAAAACATTCTAATGGTGTGGATGTATGTTTTCGAGCGAAAAAGAAAGTCGGCGATTCCGACGTAGCTTTCTCAGCCAGCGGTTCTAAAAACGCTTTTCTCGGTCTCCAGTTTAAGGATGAGGAACTAACTTCGCCATCCACGGTCCAGAGTTTAAGGCTGGTGCTCTTTTCTTTCTTTATATATTTATCTATTTTCCCCCCTCCTTTTTTTTTTTTTTTTTTTGCAGTCGAAGCATACAAGGCCTCTACGAAGTGGTGCGAATGCGCTCTTGGTTCCCCCTGTACTAAGCCGACACCGTGCGAATTGTGTTTTAACTTTTCTTTTTGCACGTGGCAGGAGCCTTCTCTCTCTCTCCCAGGGGAGAGGTTGAGGCCTACGCCTTTCGCTAGACCCATTCCTTAACCCTGGCTCTCCTCCTCAGGCCTCTGTCCCCGGCTCCCCCCCGCCCCCTTAGGACAGTCCCATCTTCTTTTTATACCCAATATGTTTCTTCCATCGGGCGCGAGGGCGCACGCGGGGCTGGAATGGCTGGCCGAAGTTCTCCAAAAGGAGACTGGCTGTAAAGGGAATGGAGGGAATGTGTGTGTGTGTTTGTGTGAGTGAGAGAGAAATGGCATAAAGAGGAGCCAGAGGAAAAATATGGTGACGCACCCCGCAAGGAGGCGCAGCCGATGGGCCAGATCTGCTGGAGAGGCACACGCGGCCCTTCAAACCACGCTCCCGGGCGCCCATCAACCGGTTTCCTCCACCACCGCCCCCCCCAAAGCCCCCTCCGACTCTTTTCACTCCCGGCTGTCCGGGAACTGTTTTCAGCACGGCGGCCACTTCGCGGCCAGAGAGTCTTCCTATCTTTGTGCTTGTGGGTGTGTGAGACAGGGCTCTTTCTCTTGCGTTGTTACGGCCGCGCTAAAGCGGACAGCGAAGTGCTGTTTTAGGTCGTTGTCCCGCCCCGCGGAAGCCGCCTTTTCGGCCCCGCGGGGGCGGCCGCCAAAGCGCAGGGAGGCGGCCCGTTTCAAGCGAGGGCGCGTTGACTCGGCCTCGTTGCTCTCCGTAGAAAGGAAGAGGCGTTTTCCATAGCGGGGACGCCAGCGTTTCTCAGGTCACTTTGGGCTTTCTCCCCGCCCCCACTGGCCCACAAGATTAGCCTTTTTGATGTCCATTAAGGCTGTCTTAGGGCTGCCTGCCAGTCCCTCCCAATCCTTGGATTGTATCTCGTTTAGAAAGGAGTAGCAGGGCAGTTCTTGTAATCCTTGAAAGCTGGTGAAGCCCCGAGAAAACTGTGTGTGTGTGTATGTGCTCTGTGTGCGAGAGGGGGTTAACTGGTGTCCCGGCTATTACCAGAAACTGGATCACTCCCCACCCACCACCCACCCCCCGCGCCCTGAGTTTCCACTGGAGTCACCTTCCTGGAAGGCCAGCGATGTGTATCAAGCTTTTCCCGGCGTGGCCGCCACAACAACACCACCAGCAGCAGAGGGGTTCTGGAGGAGTCCAGTTTAGACTTACAGCATCTGAAAGGTGGCCTTCGGAACATAGCCACCAACCACCACCCCCGCCCCATCTGAAGCGCACAGTCGGGAGGAAAAAGGAGGTAGAAACCGACCGTCAAGAGAGATGCCAGGTAGGGAAGGGACAGAATCCAGAGATGTCAAAGGAAGGGGGGGGCACAATTCTTGGGGTTGCCACCTGGGTGCGCTGATGGGCGCGCAAAGTATGCCTTTTTTAAAAAAAATGCTATCCTGTTGAATAAGACGAATTTCCCCTCTCTGCCTCCGCCAGCTTTTAAAGGTGAGTTTAGATTGCAATAGTTACTGCTCTATGGTTTGTTTCTCTCTCTCTCCCCCGCCCCTTTTGTTTGTCAAACAGGAGGTATGTCCTGGGAGCAGGGCATTGGTGGCGAATCCCAGCCCAGGATTACATTAATCAAGGCATTATTTCCCCTGGGATGCACAGCACAAATTATAGTAAATCCTAATAAAATTGGATCCCCGACAAACTGAATGTAGCCTTAAAGTAATCGGCTCCTCCTGTATATATTCTCTCTTTTTTCTTTTTAAGGACCTCAAAACTTGCATCACCCGTTCAGCTGAAACTCTTGTGCTTTGCTGTTCATAGGCTTAAGATAAATGCCACGGCCAAGGCATTCTTTTTCCAAAGGCAGTCTCTTGTCTATATATGTAATACTGTTGTCATAGAGAATTATCTGAATGTTTGTTTCTTTCTGAGCCTGGGGTAGAAGGGGGCTGGATAATCCGGTACCCCTTCCGAGGTGAAGTCAGGATTTCCCAGTTGTATGGTACGG